TGCAGGTCCGAAAGACACACCGGGTGCAACACTTCCGAACCCGCAGAAAGTCTGCAGAGTGTTCACCAGTTGGAAGTTCGCAAACAGCTTGATCCTGCCATTCCTATGAACATTTCTCTCCGAACCTTAAGGGTTGATTTGCTAGACCTTTATTTTCTTGCATGGTGCAGTAGCTAAACACAACTTTTAATGTGACGGAAGTTTTGCAGCTCAACTTCCCCCTGTCAAGTCACTAAGTGTTGTCTCTTGGAAGAAGCAAGCCTTTCGAAGAATGCTGGTTAATTTGGCTCGAATGCTTGGCCTGGATTTGACTGATGGAAGAGGCCCTGAGTTGGCAATCGGATGATGGAATTCTCGCGTTCCCAACGTCTCGCACTGGAGACTGCACGTGCGTGAGCACAGGCCCTTCTGGAGTTCCTCATGCAGCAGGGCGAGATACCTCGGACCAACACACCCAAGGGTGGCTTTGGCCAGGACAAAGCTTGAGGGTTTTGAGTTCTGCTTTGAAGACAGAGGGTTCAAAATCGGCATTCAAATCAGACAAGTAGTTGGAGGCAAACATGCTTTATCATGTAAATGTGGTGGCATGCAAATCTGTAGAGAGGCCAAACCACCCATTGCGCTTGGTGTGATTTATCTTGGAGCGATCTGGAACGCAGGAAGCTATGAAGGGCCTGCAAAGCTTCTTGAAGAGGCAACTTGGTCAGACTCAGACAGCAACTGCAGCCTCTTCCGCATTCGTTGTTTGCTGCTTAACAAGCTTCCCCAGAGCATATGAATGTGAAGAATACGTGCACAACACGCATTTGCGCAGTGCTCTAGAATTGGTATGCAGATGCGGGACGTATGAAGCCTTTGATAGCTCCGAGAGAATTCTTTGCGCAAAATCATGGACAAAGTGGTGCCACATGCCTTGCCTTCCGCTCTTGGGCTCGCACTTTGCAGGCTTGGCTTCTACACAGGCACGCCGTGCAACGGGATGCCGTCGGCTGAATGGGCATGAAGGGAGCAGTGTGCAAACAAAAGAAACGAAGCATGCTGGTGGGTTGGTGGCCGGCTAAATCTAAAGAACCTGAGATTTGGGGATGATATCAAAAAACTTAAGCTTTAGCAACGTCAATAATCACTCTCCAAAGGAGACATCTTCTGCTGAACCTCTTGCAGCGAGGTGTGTAGGATCACAAGCTGAACAAAGAGGCACAGCGTTTTTAACGGCATAATGCCACAGAAATTTATTGCAAAGATTCTGCCTTCAGCGAGCGAAAAAGAGCGCAGGGCCACTGCACGGCCAGCTGGACGACTGCTGGACCATCAGGGCCTTGCGGTCCTGGCTCATGGATCTGGGCCCGATCCTCGAAGTCGCCAGAGCGGATATACTGAATGACCAGCCCTCAGATCAATTGGTTTTGGGGACCGATTGTTCATCCTTCTCTCAATGGGAGTAAAACTGGGATCCAGGATTCCTGTAATGAGTCGTTTTGAAGTGCCTGCGCTGCTCTGGAATGTTCGGACAAGCAGCAGTCCCAGCTGACTGATGAAGGTTTGATTTGGTACCACAGAATGTCCAGTCGAGACTTGACTAACCTGCTGGGATGGTCCGAAGTGGGGGAACGGGAAGCATCCGAAATCGCCATCAAATTCAGCCAGTGGAATGGTGGAAAGTCCCTGAATGGGATTGCAAGAGTAACCCCTGATCAAATGATGGTTTGTTTCTGGAAGCAGCGTAGCTTCAGGGTTAACGCCATCTTGTTTATGATCATGTTTTTGATCCAGCCCAGAAGTTAGCTTCGCTATGATCAGCTTGTGGTTTAGCATTTGCAGAGTACTGCTGTTGTAGCGCGCGCTATTCCGATCGTGTTGCGCAGTTTTGAGACAGGGAGCACTCTGACCTGGTTCAATGTGATTTCTTGGTTCATGGAGATCCCTTGCTTAATGGGATCCTTAACAATGAGATGCACATTGAACCAACAAGCTGTGCAACAATGAAATGAATGCCCAGCTGGTTTTGCCTGCCTGCCTTTGCATTCACAGCGCGGGTCCCGTGAAAAATCATGTTTGGAGCTCAAATCTGAGGACCTCTTCTAATTATGGCTGCTAGTATGTTTGTTCGTTGTCCAAGTAATCACCTTAAAAGGTGGTTTCTACGCTGCTACGTGGATTCGGAAGGTCACTTCCACGAGCGGTGGCTCTCAGATGGCGACTGCTCTTTTGGCAGGCAGGGCGAAAGGTGGTGCAATCAGCTTCCAGGGAATACGTTTCAACAAAAGGGGAGTGGCCATAAACGATTTGTCCTAGAGAACTCCCACCCATGCACACATGTGTTTGATATATTGTAGGTTCCGGTGGCGTGCAAACTAAAGCGGGAGAATTGCTGCACACACGTGCCTTATACAAGAGATTTGCTGTAAAAACCACAGTGGACAAGAGGCAAGCAGCCAACACGATGGACAGGCTTGATCCAGAAATGGCTCTGAATGAATGTAGTGGGTTCCGCCGCATGAAGCCATTGGGAGGCACCAGACTATGGCTTATGGTCACAACATGTGCCATGTGACAATTTGTCACTGTAGAAGGCGCCCTTGAGAAGTACCTGGGAAGTGCAAAGCATGCTGCCTGTGCCGGACTGCTTTGCATCGCACGTTGCAAGTTCAATAAACGTGCGCCGATGTCCGCAGGGTTGTGAGATCTTTGGTCAGGCGCTTGTTTTGCTCGACTTTCACACTATTCATGAGACATGACAAGCTAGACAAGTATGGGCCAGTGGGGCAGAGTGGCCAATTGATTGCTAAAGACACGCTTTGTAGTCGGAAGCCCGTTTCTCAGACATGAGTTTGGCAATATCTCAGATGTTGCCAGTCATGCATCTAAGTTTGCTTGTGTGACTTTCATCCTGGAGCACGCTTATGAATTCAACGACCTTTCGTCGAGCTTGAAATCTGCTTTTCTGCCTCGCAGTCCCACGATCGCAGAGTCCCCCAGACGGAAGCAGAAAGACCCCTTGTATAGATGACAGGTGGACCACCATTGCGCTCCAGCGCTTCTTGGTGTCCACGCACGAACGAGCCAAGGGCATCAGGAGCCACGCGGGGTGGGTGGAGTGCAATCTCAGGGAACATCCAAGTGGGACAAGTGGCCCTGATTGAAACTCATTGGATGTCGGTTCTGTCCATGACACGCATAGCGGAAACCAAAAAATCAAGAAAACATGTGTTCGCTTCAGCACTGCATGTGCCTGGGAGCAGGTCTTTTGAATGCTGTGTAGTTTTGCTAGATTCCCAGAAAGTCCTGCAGACTTGGGCTTCCTGTTTGATCCATGTTGGCTTTTTGAAATATAAAAGGCAAATGACCGAGAGATGCAAGCGAGCTGCTGGTGACATATACCCCAGGGGGATATGTTTTGCGCTTGTTGGCTCAGCTTCCGAACAGTGGTTTGCATGAGGATGAAGATCATCTATACAGTCGCAGCGAACCACGCAACATGGTTGGTCTAAGATTCTAACCTGGATGTCATGTTTTATTCCCCCTGCAAGGTTTTTCTCTCCGAAACTTGGGGAAGAGAAGAGCTTACTTGAAGCTCCTTCAGTGCCCGTGAAATCATCCATCAAGGGCATGTTCTTCCTGTCACCCACGAAAGAAAACAGGGCCCCAACTCCCCGGTGTTCTGTTTTCAGGTCAGAAGCCGTCGAGGTCAAGAAAACAAGAAGACATGCGGAGTCTTCTGAAGACAACTTTGTTGAAGGTTAGGCGTGTGTCTCCATTGTGGGGATTTGAAGTGAATGCCCACGGAACAGGGTGATGTGTCAAGGGATCAAGGAGCCCTACCAGATGTGCCCTGTGATTTGCCGCGCAACAGCAAACACAATGAGATCCAAGCTTGCAACTCAACTCTACACACTTTGGGTTGTTCACACTTTCTCTTGCTGGAATTCATCCAAAACAAGGTTTAGCATAATGTTGAATTTGTGCATATTCACACGTTTCAGCATCTGATGGCTGAATAGCCGGTTTCCTGATAATGCAGAAGCTCTTTTGAGGAGAGTCTGTTGAGTTAGCCACGGGAAGCCCTGCCAGCGGTGAAAACAAGGCTTTGGTGGTGGGATATTTGGTTGCTTTCAGCCAGGCACCTAGCGGTGGATGGGCAATGGACCGTGGAGACGGTTTTTGCGTTCGAGGACGGCCTGAAGGTTAATGTACATGTTTTGTCTACTTGGAGTCTCATCCGGTTATATCATCACTGTTGCAACGCGGGCACAATTCAGTCATCTGTGTAAGCAAGTACTTGTTGCATGGGAATTTGCTTTGCGTTGAATCTAGAGGTTAGAGTCTAGTTAGACGACTTTGTTGAAGTGCGAGGAGTTGCTGTGGCGCGTTCTTGAGTTGTATGTGTGTGTAACCTTGGTTGGTTTGATACATAGAGCCTGTGCCCTGGCATACCTTGTTTTTTGGCTGTACTTGCACTGCTCACGTTGGAGGATGTTGGATCGCAGTCAGCGCTGGGACCTGTGTCAGCAGTTCACACGGCGATGTGGAACACCTCACAGTTGTGACATTGCCACCAGACAGCCAGCTCAGAATTGGCCGGAAGGATGCAAGGATGTGCCATTTGCAGAGTGCTCGCGCACCTCGCCCGCCCATGATGTTTGTTAGACCTTCGACATATCGCAGCTTACATTATTGGAGCCTGTTGCGAACTACAGAGAGTAGGACCATGTTCTTGCCCGCTGCAGCAAGACGGACAATCAGACAGCGATGGCCAGCCCATTTTGTCATGATTGTTTCGAACAACGGAGTAACATATTGGTTTTTGCATTTTGCGCCCCTGCTCCTTGTTAAAATGTTGATTGCTGACTGCAGAAACCTTTGTGCATTACCCCAACGTACATTTAAAATCAGGGGTTCGTTTTTCTTGGACCCCAGTCTACCTCGTGATTGTCCATTGGGACCTGGCTGACTTGTTCGTTGAAGGCTAGGCTAAAGAGAACATAACTCCAGCTACCTCGAACCACTTGGATGCCAACCTGCGCACGTCCCAGATATTACCTTGTTGACATGAAAGAAACTCGACGGCTTCCTTCAGGTTGTTTTGTCACCTGCGCCGTTCTCACAGGAGTTTCTGGCCCGCACTGGTGCCCGCGGGATGCTGTGGGTGCGTGTTGGGAACAGGTTTGCAATTGAAGCTATGAAACATTGGCGGGCAGGCAGATTCAAAGTATTATTAGGTCACTTGCAGAGAAGCACACACACACAAACATACACACACGACTTGCTTTCTTAAGAGAAGCTGCAATTGCCGTGCGTTTTGTTTGAGGACACACAATTCTTGCAGACAGGCAATCACAGGGCAGAAACAGGATGTCATCCATGGACCAACAGTTCCTCACCTTCAGTAAGAACATCGGGGTTCACGAAGAGGATGATTTCAAGCTTTGGCAGGCAATCCCTGTCATGTGGTCGTGCGCGGCAACACAGTCGTGCCCGAGCCCTTTCCAGTCCAAGCCACTTGAAACACGTGTTGACCGGCAGGAAACTGCGTCGGATAAGACGTGATCATAGAAACCTGGCTTCCCGTTGTTCCGTTTCTGAGAATCGGATGGACCCGGCCCGGTGGAGGTACTGCCACCCCAAGGACAGGCACGTGGCAGGAGGCCAACACCCGGGCGCTGCAGGAGTTCTTGAAAAGGCGGGCTGCATGCCGCCGCAGTGACGTCATCGTTTGGTGAGCGGAACGTTATCTGAGGAACGACAATTGCTGAGATGAGGACTTTGGGGTCAACATTGTCAATACTATATGAATATGTCAAGTGTGTTGATGAGGAAACACTGAGATGAGGACTATGTGCACGAAGGATGAGGCAAATGGCACCATGTTGCGGTTTACATGTTGCTGAAATGTTCTAGAAATCGATCCCGGTGTCCTCGTTGAGAAAACGACGACGCGGACGAATCCTGCAGGCTCCTCAAGCACGGCAATGATAGACTTTTTGAAGTTTAAATGTAAAGATGACAAAACAAAAACAATACGCGATCAATCCTGAGTGCAATATGATACTTGGTCATGTGACGACGATGCTGAAAGGAACTTGATTCACTGGGTGGATGTCGCCAAGGTTTCCTTGCCAGGCGGGGCTATTTGGAGAAGGACCAGCCCCTTGCCACAGAAATGGATCCAGAGGCGAGAGTCTGAGAGTTCAAGATGGGAGTGCTCCTTTCGGGTGTGCCGATGTTACCCCTTTCGCCCCTGTCAGGCAAAGGGATTTGACCTGTTGTTTCTTCCAGAGGTGTGCTTTTAGCCTTCAGGCGACTCGGTTCGACAACAATAAAGTTGGCATGACCTTGTTGATGCTGTTCATGTTGTGTGGTATATTTTTGTGAAGGAACTGTTGTCACCAGCAGCCAACTTACTCAACATTCTCAGCCGTTGGTAGCGTTCTTGTCAGCTTGTTCTGCGGCTTACAGATTCTGCCTTGTTTCATCATTTCAAGGTTTTCAGGGTGGTTGTGTGCATGTTGCCACGCGAAACAACTCTCTCGCCCCACTCTCCGGAGAGGGCGCAGCCCCAAGATCGGATGGGTTATTATATGTATGTCCTGACAAAGCAACTGGATCACTCTGAGCAATTCCGTTTTGCATGACAGCTTGTGACGAGCAGCCCTTGCATTAATTGCAGTATGCCACAATTGCATTTACATTCCCAAGACACGCAGTGAGGAATCTGTTTAACATGGGCGCTTGATCATTCACTCGTACACACTCCTTTGCAACTGACACTAGTTCGAATTTTCCAGGTGGAGGTGTGGCGTGGTTCATTTCCTCGGCTCGCAGTTGTTCAAGTTCATTCGGCTGCTTTCGGAAGACCTTGCAGTCTGTCCCATGTGTTTCGAAGCTTGCCCTGTCATGTACCAGAAGAGTTTATTATTTGAATCCTCTCGGCATCACTCTTCGCAAGCGTGGACCCGACGACTCGGCGTACTGCCCGATTGACGCGCTTTTAGTGCCCAGCGTGGACCCGTAATCGACAACTGCGGGTGCATGACGTCCTCGTGCACCCTTGTGCGAGAAGGAATATCCTGCCACGAATGGTATGTGTGGCTGAGCTCTTTTGCATCCACAGCTGAACGCTTATCAAGCCCCACGGAGCCAGCAGCTGCCTCTGCGCCAGGTTTGCGCGGGTCTTCAAGCTTGGCTCCGGGACCAGGGCTTCCCCTGCGGCCTGGAGGGCAAGAATGTGCCTGGGCTATGGGGGGGTGGCCGGGGGTGGGGGGCTGCGAATCAATCCAAAGTCAACCCAGAATGTTTGATTACCCCAGATAGAGCCGCGAGGGGATGGATGGCTTTGCCGCTTTTCCAGACCCACAGGGGTCAGCGGAGGTGGCCCATCTTCGGGGCATCAGACGTGCCGTTACATTTGTCCGTGACTTCCGGCTGGGCTTGTTGCAATGATTAAACCTAGGTTGACCCTTCTTAACCTGAGGGGGTGGAGTAGGCACTTCTCGTCCAGCCCCCCTGCCATGATTGTTGTGTGGTCTTTTGCATTCAGCCTTTCAGCCTTGCCAAGGCAGATGGTGTGGACGGCATTTTGGATACGGCCACATGCATTGCTCTTCAGCTCTTTCTGAACTCAGAGCGTGCTGGGTTCATTGACAAGGCCGGACCAGCTGAGCTTGGGATGCATCGAGCTGTGCCCTTCTCAAGTTGGTCAGGACTGTATTTAGTACACGGTTCCCAGATCTTCATGTCGCCTTTTGGTCCTGAGGAGGTTCTCCATGTGCTTGCCGAGGGAACAACTGCTCATGACCCACTGCACATAGATAGGATTGGCGGGGCAGGCGATGGACCATTGGAGGTCCGGAGATCGCGAAAGAAGAAACGTGCCCGACTTTCAGGGTCTGGCAAGCAACCACAAAGGCACAAGCATGCTTGTTATCTCTCATGACTTGAGAAGTAGCACATGATCAAAAGAGCGTGCCTTTTGAGCTTGCTCTAAGTCAGCCATGGAAACCAGATTGAAACACGATAACATGTTGAAACGTCGTAGTGCAACATGCGTGTTCGACGTGCGGGATGATTGTGGCCTGCTCTTTTGCTGCCAATGGCAAGGGTCCGCCTTGGCCCGATGAGTGACATTGTTCTACTGCCTTTGAACGCGAGAACTGTGACACGAGCCAGACTAATTAGTGCGTGCAGCATTCTAGGACAGGGGGAGTACTCAGCACCCATTTTCCCGCGCAAATTAGGGGAACGCCCCATGCAAATGTGGAGGAACTTGTATGTAGCCGTGCCTGTGCCTCATGTCACGTGCAGTTGAAATTTCTTGTCTCAGAGTGCAGTTGGCTGCGTGCGTGGCTGGGATGCTGCGCGCGTCGTCACGTGTACTTTGGAAGCTGTATGTGTGCTTTTGAAAGCCAAAGATTGACAGCCTCGAAAAGTTGCCAGGACCTGGTCATCGATGGGAAATGGAAGGAGATTACCATAAGAAGACTGCAGGACTGAGAGTACATTCTGCGGAGTGTCAAGCTAACGCTCAACAGCGCTGGTTTTTATCGGCCAACTCCACCATGCAAAAAGACGTACTCTGATAATAGATTCATAGTTTGCTCGAGGGTATGTTTGCAAGGCATGGCCCAACTTTGGTCACGCCTGAGAAATACGGCCTTGTGCTCTCTCACCGATGTCCGTGTTCATCCAGCAACCAATCAGGTTGACAGGAGGTGCTCAAAGACTCGGTCGTTTTGGAACCATCTTGCTGTTTGTTTGAATGTAGGCCAGGCAAGAAGAGCGGACTCTTATGAAGCTTCAAGGGGCTGCTCGCCATCAGCCAGAAATCCTCTGCCAGCTTCATGGATACCGCGAGCGAGAGAAGCCAATGTGGGGTTTCGCACGCGGCATTTGCAACTGAAAGCTGGGGTTCCCCGATTGGGACCGGCTCCTGGCACAAAGGGTCAGCATGCTGCCTCTTGCAGGGCCTCTGTTCCTGGAGGCCTTTTACATGTTAAATTGAGGTTCGTTGCCAACTGGCCGCAATACATGTACTGATCGTTAGAGTCACGATGCTTGCTGGGCTGACTCCCCCAAAGCAGAATCAGGGTTTCATTTATCCAATTATCTCACTTTATTATTCCTGGCACCCCGTATGGCTGTTTTTTTTCGGTCAAACTCCCGTATTTGCCCGTATTTGCCCGTATGGCCATGATTTTTCGGTCATTTGCGTAAATCACCCGTATGAAACCCATATTTTTTCGACATGTTGTTGAAAAAAATCCGTAAAACTCCGTATGGCCATTTTTTTCGGTCAAAGGCGTATGACCTAAAAAAAACGGCCATATGGGGTCCCAGGTTATTATTATGTTTCCCGGGAAGCCAGGTCCGTCCATGATATTAGTCACGCAAAATGGAGGGGGACGTCCGGAAATGTAGTTTAGATGTTTGCTCTCGCCCTGCAAAAGAAATCTCAGGGAACCCACCCCCATGTGGTTGTTTTCCGTTTTTGTTTTTGGGGAGCGGGGTGTTGAACAAATGAAACTTGAACCGAGGCAGGTCTAGGAGTCTAGGTTACATTTTGTTCAGACACCCCTCCCCATTGGAGCTCCACCATGTAATTTTATATTAATCACATATGTATGAACCTTACAGCCCTTACATGTTCTGGTGTCAGCCACGAAAACGCAAATCACATTTCCGGACGTCCCGCCCCCGCGTTCCCCCCCCCCACCCGCGCAAGCAGGGGTCAGGCTTCTCAGTCGCTTTGAGGGCGGCATCGGTCGGAGGAGATGCTGGCAGAGGACAACCTCAACGTGGAGGTGACGGGCAGCTGGGACGTGGTCACCCGGCAAGCGCTCCAGGGCTTTCTGAAGGCTCAGGCAGGTGGGCGGAGGGATGGAGATGCCGCGCTGCCGGGGAAGGAAGATACATCCCAAAGTCTGAAGCCTTGACAGCCCTTTGGGCTATTGGCTCTGATAATTTTCATGTTAGCCTGAGGCAAGCATTGAACAGCAGGTGAACG